CGCGATCCGATCACGTAGGCAGTTTCCGAGGTGCAAAAGCATGCCCTCATGCATGCGAAGAAGTAGCGGCAGGCGCCGATGGGTTGTTCTCCGTCGACATCGAGCGCACGGTGCTGTAGGACATGCGGTCGCGAGTGCTTGAGTCAGGCAGGCCTAGTGAGCCATGAGCAAGGCCACTCGGGGTCAACACCGAAACGACGACGAGTGCTGCAGAGAACGTAGGGAGAACCATCGCAACGTTGCTAGTTACACTGCATTCGATTTACTAACCGCGTGCTTACATGCTGAGCCTGTTTCAGTTGGTGGATATTCTATGGTGTCCTAATGCTTTTTTATCTCATATTAATGTCTACCTGAACTATGTTCTATTAACTTGCACACATTGCTTAATCCAATTATACTTAATTTGGATAACATTTTTGCATATGTGGCATTTTCTTAAGATATATTTTCTGATGTCTTGAACCTATCGCGGATTTGTTGGTAACCAATTTATTTCATATGATCATTTAGTGAGGAGTTGTCACCATATATGTATGCATTAATCAGTTTATTTTATTTGATATCGTAGTCTCAAGTGATTGGCTGTTGATTTATATCTCTGGTGTGGCTACGTTTGATATGCATGTTGAACAGGTGCGTACCTGTCTATTACCCACTACCTCTTCCATACTGGCTCTAGGAGACTGTTGGTCATTGCTGGAAGGGTCGGGGCGCACGGTCCTTCTGGTCGTACTAGGCTCGAAGTGTGGTTCCATGCACTCAGTGTGGAGCGGACTACGGTCCAGCCACCGCCTTGTGTTCGATTGATTCCCCAAATACAGCGTGCTTGTGTTTGCCTGTGAAGGAGTGTGGGCCGGCTCCGTTGATGAAACGTGGCTCCCATCCACATGCCTTCCGGTCTTATTCCTTCCGGTTTTGACTGGATATGGGGTGTGTAGATGGAGCTGTGGGTGGTGCAGCGCAAGCCACCCATGGTCCCACTGTAGGCGCGGGCGTCCTGTCGCTGTTGTATGGAAGCCACAGTTACAGGCAAATCCGGAGCCGAATGCCGCCAACCAAATATTGATGTTGCATACACGGTGCTTCTTTTCCGCAGTTGGGCTAAACCAACTTATACTAGTTCGTAGCATTTTTCTTTTCTGTTTTATTGCGGCATAATAGCTGAGATATTTTCCACCTCTAGCTAACGTGTGTGGTGATGATTCCAGGAGACTTTAAATTTTTCAAGTGAGTAAATATCCCAGGTGTAGACATCAGACCAAGAGTCTGCGAACAAGCTCCTTTTCGTTGGATCTCTTCAGGCTGGTGCACCACAACTGATACGAATAAAATGCGTTACAACCTCCGACGGGAGTAAATGTATAATGGGTAAAGTCAAAAGGTCTAGGTCATCTAAATGACGAGGTCAAGTGCTTGGTTCACAAACGGTCAATGACATGTTCTCTGGGAGACGGGGTGCACAGTGCAAGCATTGATTCTATCTAGTGTGGAACGGATTACGGCCAAGTCACCGCTTTCTGTACCTCCGGTACTCATAATTCCTAAATCAGATGGACAAGAACGCTGCTGTGCATGTTGAAAGTGTGGGCCGGCTCTGTTGATGAAACGTGTCTTCCATTCACATGGCTTCTGGTCTTGTTCTTTCGGGTTTACACTGGGTATGGGGTGTGTTGCAGCGCAAGCCGTCCATGCTCGCGTTGTAGGCGCAGACGTCCTATGGATGCTACAGTGACAGCGATATCCGGGACCGGTTGCCGCCAACCATATATTGATGTTGTATACACGATGCTTCTTTTCCGCAGTTGGGCTAAACCGACTTAAACTAGATCGTTTTAATCTGGCTAAAAGTTATTCCATTTAATGGATTTTGCTGCATATTCTGTATTACTTTTACGTGTTTGCTTTTCCTCTAATTCTGTTGTGGTTCTTTGACATCCCCGGTGTGACTGTGCTTGGTGTGAATTTTGACAAAGTGCCTATCTGCCTAACATTCACCACCTCGATTACTGGTTCCAGTTGTTGGAGCACCGTGACATAGATTGACGGCCCACCGTTGTCTTATCCCTCAATATCAAAGGTGCCTTCAATTCCATTGATCGATGTGCCCAGTGGAATTGTCTGCTAAGGAAAGGTGTACCCGAGAAGTATGCACATATTATCCACGCGCTTTACGCTCGGGCAAGCTTTTGCTTCCGTTAAATATATCCAACGGGGTAAGACAAGGATGCTCGCTATCACCTTTCCTCTTCAACTTCGCTATTGACGAAGTCATAAAGATAGCATTCACAAGGCACGACTTAAAAGGTGTGGGGTTGCTCTCAGGTGAACGACTTCTTGATTTGTATGATGCTGACGACATTGCCCTTATCTGTGACTGCTCACAAACCTGCGAAGCAGCACTAGCAGATTAGCACTGGTTTTCAGCCGTTTTTGGCCTATGCTTTCTTCCATCGAATTGTAACTTTCCCCCAAGATTTGCTGGGATTCCCTCCAGCGCTGACCCTTGGTGGGGATCAGCTAAACATCCTTCAAAGATTCATCTATCTCGGCAGTTGTATGAATGCCGTTGGAATTATCTACAAGATTACAAACGGTATAGCAAAAACACGTGGCGCTTTTGCTAACCTTCGCCATCTATAACGGCTGCACAGCATCACCGTCTCCCTGAGTGGTAGGGTGTACAATGCAGCCCTACGTTAGACCCCGCTGTACGGTTTTGCAGCTTAGTCCATCAGGTAGACATACAAAGAAGATACGTTCGACCACCGGTCCCTTCGCAGTTTGTGAACACCGCGTGAGCAATGCGCGTGTTCGACGCCTCTTTTATGGCACATGAATAAGTGAACTGCTCAGCAACGTTATGTCACGCATCAGGCTCCGATCGCTGGGCTAGGTGTTGCGCATACCAACCGACCGACTCCGGCAACGTGCGTTTTTTTGCACGCTACGGGTTTGGATGGGATAGCAAGACTGGTGGCCAAGCGGTGACTTGTTCAAGAGGAATGAGGACCCTTAGTTCGAAGTTCGCCTCGGTTGGAGCCTTTCGGCTTCCAAGTTGGAGTCCGAAAGATGACGAACACGTGTGGCTGAATACATTCGTTGATACGGCTAGGTATTGACCTCAGTTGCGTTTGTGTTGTGTTTTTTGTCCCTCCCTCTCACGCTTAGCCTCCCGCCTCAAATCACGATGTCATTTACTAGGCTTAATGTAACTTTTTTGCTGCACAATAGCAGGCTGTTAGCTCCCAGGAACGATGTCCATCCGTTACCGGTGACTTAGCCTTTGCAGCATATTTCTTTTCTAATGTATTGCGGCAGAATAGCTGAGGTGTTTTCCACCTCTAGCTAACCTATATGTTGATTGTAAATCCCTAATTCACCGACTTAACTGGTACTGTGCAATCCTGATTTCTTTGTGTAACTACTACTATCTATGTACAAGTAGTACACTTTTTCTTCTCATTTTTAACCACTATGATTAGACAGATTACCAACACTGATCACATTCAGAATCTGAACTAACTACAGCCTATTTCACATTTTCTTCAGTCTTTATTATATAACCTTTCATTATTTACTGACAACTATGTGCAAAGCTCAGACATCAGAACACCGTTTTAATGCACCACTTATTACGTCCTCGAATGAGCGCGGATTGACCGTGTGGAATCATACAGGTACCTAATCACGAGTCCGTTCACCTATTCGTAAGTTATACGTTTCAATTTACTTCAATATCACTTATGTAGAACCACGGTTGCTGCATTACAATTTCTTATGCCCACCACCATTCTCACAGCCCAGACCGTGCGTTTAAATAGGTGTCGGCAGCTCCCGTTTAAACAGTCATATCTGCAGTAACAATGATGATGATGCTTCCAGGAGACTTTGAATGTTCACGTGGGCACACTGTGCACAGTACTCACGGCCATGCTAGGCTCAAGGAGTGGTTCTATATGGTGTGTAACGGACTACGTCCGGGTCACCGTCTTGTGTACGTGTGGCACGCACGGTTCCTAAATCAAATGGACAAGAAAGCGGCTGTTGTGCATGTTGACGGAGTGTGGGCCGGGTCCGTTGATGAAACCTGGCTCCAATCCGCACGCCTCCCGGTCTTATTCCTTCGGGTTTATACTGGATATGAGGTGTATGGATGGAGCTGTGGATGATGCAGTGCTAGCCATCCATGGTCCATCCGTAGGCGCAGGCGTCCTGTGGCTGACTAGAGTGACAGGCAAATCCGAAACCGCATACCGCCAACAATATATACGTAGCGTACAGAACTGAAAGCAAATATTTTTCACTACCGACTACTTCAGGCATGGAAGACCTTTGCATATATGATGGTGCTAGACCTAACAGGTATATATGGTGTGTTCAGATAGTTAAAATCTACAGATGATAGCTAAAGACAAAAAGTAACCTCTTCATTAGAAACCCGGTTACTACCAGAGCGGAACGCGAAAGGCAACCAATCAATACAACTCTTATAATTAATCAAAACCACCAGTGTATCCGCCGAGATAGTATATTCATACAGCCTGTTTACAAAGTGTCTGACCTGCGGCTTGAACGACACCGATACACCGGGCTAGCTACGGAATCCTACTCGGATCGACAGCAACGCAAGAAAGGCTGAGCGAGGTTCGAACTCGAGGATGGCGCGAATGCGTGTTAACCTATTCAAACAATTGCATGCGGGAGAACATAGGCAGGCACGTTGATTTCTTTGGGTATATAGTAAAACTGACAATTTTAGAAAAATTTTACGATCGTATCCAAACGAACGGGAGGTTAGTCAGGTCGCTATAAGTCGTCCATTAAAACCAAAATTTGGGATCTCGATAACTAGAAGGACACTTAATGCCATGCGTTGCTGGTAACGCCCTCAGAACCAACTAAAGGCATTTGCGAACTAGACTGTGGGAGAAACATTCCCTTAGCCTGTTAACTGGTAAATCCCGTCAACAATATTCCATGGTGGAAACAATACCGCTTTCACAGAAGACGGGAATCAGGAAATTTTATTCACTATAAAGAGATGAATGAGAAGGGGAATTGTCAAACGGATGTCACTGCTCACTGGCCCTGCTGTTTGCTTGAAACAAATACAAAAAGCTTCCTGGATCCCACGTTTCGCTAATCGGTCGGCTTTGCCTTTTGATTACGGGCGTTATCGTAGCGTCCACGAATCGAACTTCTGTATTGACTGATTTCGTTTGGGTCAACTTGGAATTCGATTTCATGCAGTAGCGCCCACCACACTGTAAAAACACAAAATGGATAGTGAGCGATTTGGCCGGAAGAGAAGCGTGCTGGCACGATCAAATCATTGTCGGAATATTTCCACTTGAACAGAGTTACATCGTGATTTTTGGTTGCAATATTTTGATGATCAATTTCTGTTTCCTGAGCCCCAGCGCGAATCGTGAGATTAAAGTTGGATTAGACGGGGACAGCGATCGCTGGTTCTATGGGCTGGATAACCTCAACCGTGGTAACTGTAATCTTGAGGCTGATGCTTTGCCTACAAATCACGATAATTACTTAGGCTGTGAACCTTATTTGGGAAGGGGTGGGTTATAAAACAAATTCAAAACTCACGGTCACAACCACCTGCTCCTCGCTCGTGTTTGAGGTGCGGCGCAGCTCACTCTCGGCTTTCATCTCCTGGCGTCCAAATCGACGTTAATCAACAGGTAGCTTAATGTTAGGCACGCTGTAAACAAGCATTCCGGTTAGGCCGTGGCTATAAGTGTCTGATGGGTGCCGGCCGTGACACATGCTCACGTGGACGCCGTGTTAGAAGATGGACCGATTACGTCCAGTGAAGCGATTAGCAATTACATCTCCGGTTGTCAGGTCAACAGTTGCCCCCCCCCCCAAATCTTGTGACATTCTACATCGGAAAGCGGTAAGCAATGGCTTAGTGTACTTAGCCCGTGCACAAGCACTTTAAGCAATGTTACTTTTTGCACTAAGGAACTGGCATGGTTGCCCCTGTCTAGTGCTCGCTTGCTGACGTCATGTTTGGGGGCATACCGTTTCCACACGACACCATTAGTGCTCCGTGGACAACGACGCCAAACGGGGCACAGACCCGAGGGGCTAGGTATCACTTCATTTTAACAAGACGGTCTACACTGTGGCGGCCTTGTATTCGCGGTCATTCAGAGCTAGGGAATTCCAATTCCTACGGATGTTGCAGATTCGAGGATGCATTGCTATCTTTCACAGTCTCACGCCAATCACTGATATCGCAGCTACCAACTCGGCTAAATTGGCCAACATTCTCTGGTTCCTCGTCCCTGCGAACCAAGGGATTATCAGCTGGTCAACGGTCTTACAACAACATTGTATGCCTTGGAGGTACAAAGCATTACAGAAGGGTCCAATCCACTGCATCTTGTAAGTGCAGTGTTGTTTAGATGTGTCTATTCCAGAGAGTTGACAGAGTGCTGACTGTGTCGCCATCGTCCGCATAATCCAGTACAACCAATTTGCCCCGTATCTGCACATGCATCATGAGATTTCGCAGTTCATATTAGTAGAACAGAAATAGGAGAACGGGACAACCCTGCCGAAAGTCATCTGAAGAGGATATGGCGTTCTACAGTTCACCATGTACCCTTGAGCGACCTGTGGTGTTCCAATACAAGCAAGGTAACATGCTCGCACTTTGACGAGAACGTCTTTCCAATATAGTCCGGAATGATCAGGTGAGTGAAACGTGATGTTGCACTTTCAGAGCACAGTGGAATCTAGCCTGTTGTACATACATGGGTCCTCACTGTTCTCCCTAAATAGCACCAGTGGGAAAGTATCCTGCTCGGTAGTTACTGCAGGAACGATTGATGGCTGTACTTTCATTTCGAACCTCAGCTAATGATGAGCCATTCAAACCAACTGTGGACCTGCGCGGTCTGTAAAATGTGGCGGTTCATGGAAATGGAGCCAACTGTGATTTAGACCGGATTGCCTCCCTGACACATGCTTCTCGAAGCAGCGGCGCGTATCAGCTGGAACAGCATGCGACGGTAACCCACCGCTCCTTCCTCTATTATTTCAGTTCGTCGAGATTTCCTAGCTAGCTAGCAGCTTTCGTTTTGGTCCATTCCTAACAGCTCTTCTCGGCTACATTCTCAATATTACTACCATTATGGTTAACCTCGTTGACAATTCTGCGAATGATAGCGAGGTTTATCCTCACATCTTGAATAGGTTTTCTCCTCGGTTGTAACGAAAAATTTTGGTGCGTAGTTAGTTGTAGTGATAGAAGGTGCTATCTCTGGTTGCTGACAAATACCAGCGCTTACTCCGACGGATTTCGCTGCCAGATAATGATCTTACCAAAAATGGAACAACCGTCCAACAATGTGCCTAGACTTAAGGTGTCCTTGCTGATGGATGTTGCAAGTGCGAACAGCAGGACTCAATTCCATTAAACGTTCCAGCTGAAATTCTCTAACTGATCGCAGGCATTAGCAGGTAACCAGCGGCTTTGGGGTCACGTGCGCTGTCGATCTGCACACCGTAATTTGACATGTACCGAGGTGATTTTTGATGCTCTGTGTATGTTCTGCCACTGGAAACGGTATTGTGGTAGGACTGTGAGGTATAGCTGAAAATTCGAGCAAATTCAACCTCACCTCGTATCCCTAGTTCACGTGTTTGTAAATACTTATTCTGTACCAATTGGAGAACTGGACAACTTGAAGCATTGATGAAGCCCGGCATGGCATCTTGCTGAATGAAAGCAACAGAAATCGGTATCGAAGGAACAATGATCTTGTCCAGCCAGGAAAAGGTTGATATGATTCGTTTGGTGAACAGAAAATCTCTACAGTGAAGGCGGCGAAGCGCGGGCAGCGGGAACACTGCGTTTGGTCATTGCAAATGTTTGTAGCTCGGAGTGCGGATGTGGGGGTTGAATTTCTCTCCCAACACCACCACCTCAACTCATTTGGGCGAACAGCTCAACCGCTTCAACGCTGTGTTTAGCACACTTCGCTGCAATTTCCCATTTCGACACTCGCACGTATGCAGTCAGTTTCAACTCACCCTAAGTCTACATCCGATCGGTGTGACGTCGGAAGCAGTGTTCAAACATCCGTCAGAAAGTATCAATAAAACTGTGATCACAAAGGAAAGTGGTAGGACTAAAGCGAAGAGTAGTTCTCGACTACTTAATTTTCGGGTTTTGGAGCACCTCGGTATATGCCAAATTACGGTGCGGAGATCGACTGCGACGGTGACCACGAAACCGTTAGTTACCTGCTACTATCGGCGATCAGTTAGAGAATACCAGCGAAGACGTTACCTAGAACATATAGCTAGCTCGTCTATCTCTACCTGATGTGTCCAAACCAGGACGAAACCGTCGGTCGTGGAGTACAGGTTTGGGCGAGAGCCACACCGAGACCCTCCACTTCTCGAGTACTTTTTCGCCATATCTTGACTTCACCAATCGAGGGGATATTGTCGATGCGTTGTTGAAGACATTGTCCTCATTGGGTGCACCAATACTTCGAATTTATCCCGAATCATTACTAATTCCAACAGCTGCCAAGGCGTCGGATGCTTCAGAGTCTGTGATAAAATACAAGCAATATAGACCAACCAGTGAATAGCTATCTACCAGGGTATCCGGAAGCAAACGGTCCACATATTTTATTGTTTGCACACAGGAATAGAACAAGTCGCAAATATTTCCCGGCCAAAATGGAGCTACTGACGCTTCCTCAAAGAAATGCTTGGAAAATTTGTGTGACGACATCTGTGCATTCGATTTTCCATGGCACGAACTGACATCAAGCGCGAGTGAAATAGCCAGTTTAAGCATGCCACTCGAAGTCGAGGTACAAGAATACACATCACGAGTTTCATGACCTCAAGTAGTTAAACTAAAGCAGCTGATAACGAAACGTAGCTCAATGGAGTACCGGTTATTGCTCGAATAACAATATGCGAATATTTGCGTCTGTGGACATTTTCAGAGAGCCCTATATACAAGTGCAAACCGATATTCTCATGGATGATGCCAAATCACGAGCATTTAAGATGATAAGCCATGTATGTGAACAACTAACCCGAGCTGAACATAACTGAAGTTTGTATAGCCTATCAAATTAAAGTACGCGATTGTAATGCTTTATGGACACTGTAACTTGATGAACAATCGTTTTGTCACTCGATTTTATCCGTTTTACGCTAAACATACTTCTTACCTTAAAGGCGATGATGCCGCGATAGAAGCGCCTTTGAACAGCCAATATTTGATTTTGCAAATTGGTCAACTGTCCCGTTCGCGCATACACGATACGTATAATTTGGCCTATGATTATATTGTTACATGACCTGTGGAAAGAGAAAGCGTATCTACGGTTTGATAACGATCAGGTGTATTCAAGGGAAATGTAATCGGCAGAACGTACACATTCGCTTACAGGAAGCCAGTGGGGGTTGAGTGGCAAAATGGCTTCTGGCGCCCAGCTTCTTCAAAATACTAATATCACGAAGCGATTTATTGAGGTGTGGTTTCATTTTTACCACACCAAACGAACCCATGTGTTACAAATTCAACACTACACATCAAAGCTGAAGTCTGCCGGGAGTGGTGTGATACTGAGCGGTGCTCTAGGCCCTTTACTTTCCTTGGCACATGTCAACATCGTAACGGATGTGTTGCTTCCTGTAAACTTCATCTGTCAGCCGATGACCTCAGGACCGTGTATACTTTTTCACTTATTTACGCCAGTGATATTGGATGGATTCGTCAGCCAGTTCAGCGCGTTAGTTATCAACCAATCAGAGATTAAGATTCTTCGTTCTGAAAAGTTAAAGTCCTTCCTGAGGAGCAGGGTGCGGAAACGATTGACCATGAAGGATTCCTTTTGAAATGCATACAAAGCCAATGTAGACACCGAAAAATGGAATGCCTGCAAAACCGAACCAAACCGATGCGTCAGACTAGTCCGCGATAAAATGTTGAAAAGCCAGCTAGAGTTAACAAACAATTTCTCCCCACTCCTAAGCTACTTACAGACATGTTAACAAATTCCGCAATGTACAGCGAGACATCCCTTCTCTAAACATCGTCTATGGGCAAGCGCAAGAAGCAGCTAGCGCTCTTAGACATCAATTCGCTGGTACTTTCCAGAACGTAGCATTCTCACACAGATCACGTCACTACCAATACTTAGCTGAATCCCCTTCACTGCCGCGGATATGAGGAAGCGACTGATGTCCCTATGCAGGCGCAATTCACCTATATCTGACACTATACGCGCCAACTTATTGAAGGTAGCTCTCATGGACTTTGCCGAACCATTGTCTCGGTTTGTCTACTGCTGTCTCAAAGCGATGCGGATTCCAATGATATGGAAGCGTGGAATAGTCACTCCCATTTACTAGGTGGACATTCGTGCTGTGCACGCAAACTGCCCCTCGATTACTTTTCTTCCGATACTTGCTAAAGTCATGGAATCTGTCATTACCGAAGCACCCATGGGGTATTTAGAACGAAGTAGTATCATGGTACAGCGGCAACATGGCTTTCACCGAAACCACTTATGCATTACAAACCTACTATTACCGCGTGCCACCTCGACGTGTACATCGATGATGGGGAGTGAGTTGACGCTGTTTACCTTGACTATTCTAAGGCTTTTGATGGTCTAGACTCTAGACTACCGCATTTTTCTTTACAAGCTTCGGAGTTATGGTATCGGTGAATCTATCCTGGGCTGGGTATATTCATTCATACTCCACCGCCGCTTGAATGTAAGAATTCATAGCGGTATGTCAGACTCGAAAGAGATTCACTGAGGTGTCCTAATGTTCGTAAACGACCTTGCGAGAGTGCTGATTTCAAACTTTCTACTCGCTGCCGATGTTCCAAGAATTTGGCAGACAATCAAACGAGTTGACAATCACATGGCACTGCAAAATGATTTCAACAGAACTTACCACTCGTCAGCTCGGACCTTATTTGAGCCTAGGAGTTGATCCTATGAATTTTCAATAAATCACCTGCAACGTGTGTCAAATCCTCAATGATCCTAACCACCAATGCCGACACTTATTGAAACTCAGCCCAACACCTCACTGAAAGGCAACCATTTGAAGTTACACAGTATGGCCAGCTAGAATGCCTTTTCTCCATCAGTGTATCCTAGCCGTGGAATGTTCTCCCCCATTCTTTCATCCCTGCTCCGACGTTAGTTGAATACAAGTCTATTTGATGATGCATTACATAACCCGCGTTCCATGCTTTAACCCGAACTATTGGGATATGTGACAACGTAAACAAACTGTGTTTACACATGCAAATGGTAGTCAATCCATTACTATGCGCTTCTTTTTGTCGAAACATACATTTTTTGGTTCCACTCTTTATCTGACCCGAAGCCTTCGTTCTTTTATACATCGCGAATCCATTTTTCCACAATGTACCTTCGGATCGTGGTGTTCCAAATGGAAGCACACATTATTTTTTATTAAGCGCTATGTGGTATGTTACAGATACGAATTCGGTCCTCGGCCGTAAACCACTAATGACAAACCACCGTCTCAATGCCACATGGTTTGTAATTTGGGAATTTTCTATTGGGGCTCCTTCGACCTCGTAGAGCATGCCTAACACGCCGTAGCCAGGATCTAAATGAATATAAGATTTATCTTTACGAATCTTAAACTGAACGATCAAATAAATGCAATGCGTAGAATGCTCACAGCTTCCTTGCTGGAAATCGCTCAATGGTATACTGCAACACCAGAAGGAATCGTCGAATCTCCATAATGCAAGTGCCGCGGTAGATTGATTTTGTTTCTTACCCGCGACACTGAAATCTCAACCGGTTCCTTGCGCGTTTCCACTCTTCAGGTAGAAAGATAGCAGGACTGCAGCCCGAAGTCGGGAACTCTGGGATCTCAGCTGCAATCCGTAAAGGTAAGGCACCGGGTCGTCACTGGCAACGCTTGTCACAACGGTTAATGATTAAGCGGGTTATTTTGAAGTCTTCGTTGTGTGCTACGGTCGTTCACCAAACGATTGCTAGATTTATAAACCACACTGTCATGCAAGGATCGCTGTCATAGACAGCCGAATTCGATCTGCGTGCACCAGATTAAAATGAACTTTTTCATATCATAAGTAACAAGACACACTCCTCTGGACATGCGATTGAGAAGAGCAACACATTTCAACGCTAGAAATAGCAAAAATGTGGTGTTGATGATGTCCTTCAGAACAAAAATATCTGAAAAGCTTCCTCTAAATTGCCACAGTTCATTATGGAACAGGCTTCTAATGTTCAATAGAATATTCGAAGGATTTCCGTAGAGTATTTCACTCTCACTTGATTAGGACAAAACCTAATAAGTTGTTGAGCACGCCACAGACGAAACAGTCACCTCACGAAATCGAACCCAGATGAATATAAGCGGCAAAACAAGTGCCTTCTACAGTGCAACTTTGCTATCCGCTCTTCAAGCTAACACTTTTAGTGCACATTACCATATCCACATATACAAATCCTAGTCTGTTTTCCTCATATGTTTCAACGCAAATCCACATGGTATCCACCGGTTTCACATTACCCGGTTAACTGTTTCATGCAGGCTAGACTGTTGTGCAACACCACTCCAATCGCCTCATCGCCTGCATCAAAATCTGCCTTCAAATTCGCTCGTTCGCAGGCGTTGTGAATGCCTGAGATCTAGGAGCCTCATGGTTACCCAACGCAGCGCCTACACAAGATTGTTCCATCGTCTTCTCTCACCACCAGGTCAAAACCTCACCACTCAGTCTCTTGCTTATATCCCCCATATGTTGGTTTTCGCTACATTATCAGACGATAAAAACATAGCCCGTCTCCGTAAGATGCATGTGCCTAATGAACCCTCAAATAACTTCTACTGAGTCCTAAGGACATCTACCTAAATTCATGAATACTACACGTATTTACCGTAGTCCAGTCTTATCTCGTGCACAAATTTGCCTTATTCCTCTCACTTAATATCAGTTCATCTTGTGGAGTTTTCGGCTCCTTGCATAAATTCCACTCTGTCCTCTTATCTTTTCGCCAAATACGTTATCTACTTCAGGTTATCTCAGGCATTTAACCGGTTGGAAGATTGGATTATCATCACTGTTAAGGATGACCCTTAGCCGATGAACGGAACAGAACGCGCACGCTTAATACGGAACCGATTTACTAAAAGCATCTTGCGTTACAGTGGTTAAAAAGGCCGGAAAGAAAACCAATGAAATAAGGAAAGTGAGGCAAGATCATTCTCAACCAATCATGTAAGGACCTGTGTTTACGAATCAATATTCAAGTGTCTACGTGACAACCCTCTCTTCCCTGGTCAAGACTACAGACTCCGGGTTGATACCGATCAATTGGCTTAAGCGTGTCTTTTGAGCCGTTTGTGGTTCCTGGTTTTGTGAAGCAGATTCTCCGTCCGTTTTTTGGTCAGTAGCAGTCGCTTTTTGATCCCGCTCCTGTGGTTCGTTTAAGCGTGGCCGGATATGGTCAAATAGCGATGCACTATACGGCCGTCCTCCAGGTTTAGCTTCGCTTGGTTACTCGTTGCGGACATGAGCGTAGCAGGTTGCCAGCTTGTTTCGTGAGGCAGTCTTATGTATACCGGATCAAAATCACTAAGACAAATTTCCTCTGGCATCTTTTCATCCACACACATTTTCTCCTGCTTTTCCTCCATTGTCCTTCGAGGATTCGGAAATGTAGGTGCAGTCTCGTTCGTAGAGGCCTACCAAACATTAGTTCCGCGGGTGACTTCCCTGTCGACTCAGTCGGTATTATGCGGTAAGAGAATAGGAGACGATCCAACTTAGTTGGTAGAGCTCTATGAGCCTGCTTAAAGTGACCCGGATTGACAGTCTGGACTGCACGTTCAGCCATTCCATTCGACGCATGATGATACGGCGCAGGCTTAACGTGTTGTATCCCGTTGTTAATCAGGAACTTGAAACTTTTCACCGGTAAATGGGGTTCCGTCACTGGGATATCGAAAATGGCGAATATGGAGTGCATTTTTGCAACTGTTGCTGCGGAAGCCGCAGGTGGAACTGGATGTACATCTATCCATTTAGAATGGGCATCAATTAAAGAAGACACATCTACCCATTGGTTGGGCCAAAGTAGTCCGTATTTACCCGGCCAATGCCATGGACATATCGGTCCCGGAAGTTTTTGCCTTTGGTATTTCTGACATTGTTCGTGGTTTTTCAGCAGCCGCTCCATATCCTGGTCAATGCTCGGCCACCAACATTAACCACGTGCCAGCGCCTTCATCATGCGCACACCGGGGTGTGCGGCATGCAGCTCTCACAGCAACTGGGGCCATAGTTCTTCTGGTGGAACTATGCGCGAGCCTCGAAATATACAGCCGTCGTATAGACTCTACTTAATACTCCGACACGTGAATGGTTTCAGTTCATCTGACGTACTTGTAGGCCATCCGGTCAGCAAGAGCCATTTCACCATCAATAACACAAGGTCCCTGCCCGTCAGGCGCCGCACGACATCACTCCAGATGGGTGTATTTTCAAGACGTTGCATCAAATTAATAAACTCCATGGGTTCACTATTCGTTTTTGTGCCACGCTGCTGCGGGAGGCGACTGAGTGCATCGGCAATGGTATTACTTGGTCCGTTTATATACTGAAGTTTGTAGTTATAGGCACACCAAAGTAGTGCTCATCTTTGCTTTGGAGGCAAATACCTCTGTTGAATTCCTTTCTTTTCACCCAGAAGCGAAAGAAGGGGCTCGTGATCGGTGTGGATACCAAATTGTCTTCACCAGACGTACTGGTGGAAATGCTTGACCCCGAAAATAATCGCTGAGGCCTGTCTGTCCACTTGAGAGTAATTCCTTTCAGAGGGTTGCGGGGTGCGGGAAGCAAAAGCGATTGGACGAAGAGAACCGTCATCCGTCCGGTGGCAAGGGACTGCACCTACTCCGCGTGGGGAAGCATCATACTGCAGCACTAAAGGCCGGCTCGGATCGAAATGCACGAGATACGGGGGGGGGGGGGCGCTGCGCACCATTTTTGCATATGTGAAGGCGTTTCTTTGATCCGGACCCTACGTCCAGGACTTCCCCTTGTGCAACAGTTCGTACAAGAGTGCAAATACTATTGAGGCGTTGGGTAAGACAGTGAGGAAACATCCGTAAAAGCGATTGGAGTTCAACTTCATTCCTTGGTTCAGGTGCGACAAGCGCAGGCTTTACTTTGTCTTCTAACATGTGTAATCCGTTTTTATCTAGGCAGTAACCAAGGTAACGAACGGAAACTGAGAAAAAGGTACTCTTGAACTCCTTCAGTTTGAGACCTTTCTCTTGTAGACGTTCGAGCACACTGGATGGCGTTTGTAAACGTTCAGCACCTGTACGTCCTGTAATTAGAATGTCGTCAAGCTAGGCGCAAGTGAAAGCAATATCTTTGATCAGGTTGTGGATGATCCTTGGTATATCGCTGGGGCCGAACTGATACTGTAGGGCAAATGTTTATACTGAAACAGACCCAAGTGTGTACTTATCGTAGTGCATGAGCAAGAGGTCTTTAACTCAATTTGTTACTACTCGTGACTGAGATCGATCTGTGTAAACTTTTGTCCGCCTGCCAGCGTAGCATACAGATCCTCTATCCGAAGTATGGGATACTTATCCAGAATTAAACAACGATTGACAGTTAGTTTGTAGTCATCGCAAATGCGCACAGAATCATCCGACTTCAGAACTGGAACTACTGGAGCTCCCCACTCACTGTGTTGTACTGGCTCGATCGTTCCTGCTGATTGCAATCTTTTTATCTCGTCTTCCACCTTTGATCTCAGGGAACGAGGTAGGTTAGTGCCTTGAAAAAGCAGGGCTGAGTTCCCAGCCGTAATTTGAGACTAGCCTTATATCCGTGCAATATTCCTAGTTTCTCATCAAAAACGTCAGAATATTTGTTGAGCACATCCTCCAAGCGCTGGTTAATGGACATGAACTTCACTGTCTCTAGCGTGACCGGAAGGCATTTAATCCAGTCGCGCCCGAGTAACTTCGGACAATCATTCGCCACAATATATGCCTGTAAATTTCGCTTCTGCCCATGGTAATTTATATGAACGGTGCATTTCCCAGGACTGGTATCGGCTGCCCAGTGTATTTACGCAAAGTTGATTCACAGGGGACAACTTGGGTAATCTTTTAACTGATGCAGCACTGATTATGGTAACTGAGGCAACGATATCAACTTCCATTTCAACCAACAAGCCTTCTATTTCCAATTGCATAGTGAAGGGTGGGTGAATGCTGCAGATGCTCGACGTTGCATCCCGGAACGTGATTAGCTTGTCTTCTTCGTCTGAAGACTGGACCACCTTCAAGGTCTGGTTGGGAAAACGGGATGCCGCGGCTGTGCAAGCTTTAGATCTTCAAACTCTGGCCAAGTGCCCTAATTTTTCACATTGGCGGCAGATACTCTGTTTATGACGACATTCCTCGGCTGATAAATGCTGACTTCCACATCGGTAACAGGTAAAAGGCAAATCGGACCGTCTCAGGGTAACATCTTTTCGATTGACTGCTTTGATAGTGTCTGTACGAGGATGCGAAGAAAAAGTTGCTAACCGTTTATGGACATTCTCCAGCTGTCGAACAATATTGCAGGCTTTCTCCCAGCTCATCGCCGTCTCATCTTCCGGCAACAACCTTCCACGAGCCTGTTCGTTACGGATACCGGTTATCAAGCGCTGTAAAGCCATCGCGTCTTCGAACTTCGTAACTTGGATTTCACTATACCGACACTCTGGTAGGGCTCGCTGAATCCTCGCAATGAAATCAATAACACTTTCTTCAGGGTTTTGACGCAAAATCGAGAAAGATTACCGCGCAGTGTATGTGTTCATTCGTGAACCCCATAAGCTGCTGAGGACCTCTAACGCGCTGTGGACTGTTTCCTTCTCACTGATATGGAGGGCATCAAAATGTCTTTGGCCTTTATCCCCAGAAATTGTCTCAATTATTTAATTTTGTGGCTCTTTGAGGGTACAGTATTTGCTTGCGAGACGGGGAGTAGCTTCAAACACTCCAAAAAGTTGCGCTTCCAGGTGGCCGGTGTTGGTTTAGCAGAAGGAATATTTCAAAGTAGTGTAGGAAGGTGAAACATCGCAGTAGTTTAACCTCGTCACCAGAACGTGCACGTGTAGTATGGAACCGATTTACTAAAAGCATCCTGAGTTAAAGTGACTAGAAAAGCCGAAAAGAAAACTAATGAAATAAGGGAAATAAGGCAAGGACATTCTCAACCAATCATGTGAGGGCCTGTGTAAACGGATCGATACTCAAGTGCGTACGTGATACTCACCAAGCCTCCACGCACTCCTAGGATAGGTCAGCAATTATGTTTTGCACAGGCTTCTGGAGGTGAAAGTGTGTGAATCCGAGTCAGATTGTATCCAAATCAAATGGGGTGTACCAGAATGTTCAGTATTGTGACTTTGGCTACCCCTGATCTGTATTCGCCTACCTTTGAGCTTAATCCGTTCAACTGCCGCCATTTGATTTCCCTTGTTTGCATAAGCCATGGCGATCGATCAAATGTCAGAGAGTTAGGGAATCAGTCTTCATCAGTGACGTAAAAAATTACACGCGTGAAAGGCGAAAAGCTTCACAGACCCTGAGTACTGACTTGACGTCATCCGTGACGTCAAAACAAGCTGAGAAAAAGCAACTGAATCCCTGCACTTGTGTGCTCCGGTCCTGGTTTGCCAACTAGCCATATCTATACTGAGCTAACAAGTTAATCAGCTTTCAAATCACATTCAACGTGGCCTCTTCGTAGCTGAACGATTATCCTTCTTTTTAGTTTAAGTAAGAAGGTTGCTAAATCATTCATCACGTATAGTGGGTGAAAACGGAAATATTTTCGAGGCAGCGATGGATAAAAATACGGCCTCTTAATAGAGACGTAGCTGAGCCGCAGTCTTTGCGACTCAAATCACGGGTAATTTTGTGCATGTTAATGCGCCTGAGCTCACCTCTCAGTTGCAGTGACCTTTTCGTTACTGTATCCTGGTCTATTGATCTGTGATATAGTGATTGGTAGCCAGTCGGAAACGTTGGATTCAGGCGAATTCCCCCACCGGGATACATGTGTTGGAGCCACAGTGTCCGCATTGAGCGCCGACAGAATTTGCTCTTCCAGTGCCACGCAAGCACTCAGATTTCCTTGATCAGAGATCGAAGATGTGTATCTATTTTTAGTGGATAGAAGAAGGAAAAATTACCTATCAACACTTCCGAATAACCAACAGGACTAATTCCTTGGTTTTGATTGCACGTCCCAGAATGAGTGAATTGGTATACATTCTACAATTGACTGGCCAGCTAAACACATTCGATCACAACTAGGCTGACTTCTATGCAATCAAATCGTTCTGGTTTATCTATAAAGTGGGGGAGTGAAGTAATTTTACTCCAAGGTGGAACTAGTCGAAAATGGGAGATGGAACCAGGCGTGAAATAGTTAACGGGGTCCCTAGCTAACTAGGCCAATGGGACCCAGGGGTACGCAGACACCACAGTTTTATGGGTTGCCAAAATTGCACAAGGTGGACGTCCCTCGTCGCAGCGAGACTATATATATATATATATATATATATATATATATATATATATATATATATATATATATATATATATATATATATATATATATATATATATATATATATATATATATATATATATATATATATATATATATATATATATATATATATATATATATATATATATATAGCGTTAAGATAGCCCCAGGCGCCTAACTATTCAAGTACACCTCACAACGTCCAGTTCTTCGACGATCGACTTCTGCCTCAGTTTCAAGTGACTATGGGTTTGTTAATAAATACCAACAACACCAGAGTTTAAATCGCAAGGTTTGGGTAAAAGACTGAGTTGGCCGTGTGAGTTTTTCCGCGGCTGGTGTGTGAATCTGTTTTAGAATGTTTATCTTTAATCGTCGAATGACGAGTGCAGCAAGATTCTCTGCTTGTGTACATTGTGCGGAACTCGGAACTTGTCATGTCCCTCTCGTTAGCATAGATGCAGAAAGAGCGTTAGATCTACCAGAGGTTTCATTCGAGAATTTCGACATTCTAGTGCCTTCAAACTTCATTAAATAACTAAATAAATGAGTGGGTATGTCACCCATGGAAGGTGAGATATGTTCACTTTGTGAAACCATCATTTATGCAGCAGTTTCACCAAATATGCCACTTTATGTCCAATATAAACTTGTAATGCAGTGATTTGTGGAACAGGCTGTTGGAAAGTTAGTTCCGTCATATGCTTTTCTGCCCGGATTTCATGCGTCTTCTCATCGATTGCTGAAGGTAAAAACGTCTGGCCACATTTGGCATAGGAAGTAAATTGTTTACGTTGGATTTTAATATAGACGTGCTCTCGCTGGTCCTTAGTTGCAACCGTAGCCTATTCCCCAGGTGGGCGCACTTTATTCAAACGAATTTAAACGTACTTTTGGTTTGCTCTTGTGCAGGAATAGTAGACATTTCCCATTACGAGTGAGATAGGTTGAACCATTTTGTAAAACAACATCTGTACTGGTTGAGAAGACTCATAAATATATCATAGTATAGGTTGTTTTTCAGTCTTAGAAGCCAGAATGGGTCAAGCGGGAGCCAAGGAGGTCGCTCTTCCTAGGTAAGCTTTGATGAGCGACTGGCGATCGTTTTGGAGACCTAGTGCTAGAGGTTATCCAAAGCAATCCTATCTGTCTTGCTTAGGTGGCTACGTGCGACGGTTCAGTAATCCAGCGTGGGTCGCTCTATGGGTTGAAAACATTAAAACCATGGTTTGATGCAGTAGAAATGACCTGATGATGTAACTTGTTAGGCATGAGCTCAGAGACGTTGGGCAACAATCGGTTCTCGTGTTTGTTGAGCAAAGTTGCGCATTTGACACAAAAGCTTCGTCAGGACATTTGAATCAGTATGTGACTGAAGTGGCATTTTACAGCGAAAATGGATAACAATCGCTTTCGCTACTTGCTTTATTATTTGTACGGAAGTTGAAGTTTTGATGTGTCAAATTCCCAAATCACAAATGGAGTACCCTGTTGGAATGAATCCTTCTGGTGTACAACATTTGTCGAAGAGTAGCTGAGATTTGTATGCTGGATATGATGTATCCACGGCTTATTACACTGACAAAGCACAGGAGCGGATCCAGGAACGAAATAAGCGTTCGCTTAGCCAGCGGCCCGTTTCGTGTGCCAGTAAGCGAAAAGAGCTTCCAGCACTTCGACGTGACAATAAGTTCTTGTGTTTATATTAGAAAAAAGAAAATAAGAGCAAAATAGCCACCACATTTTTTTGCATTTGCACATGGTACTTGTATGTGGTTATAGCTGTAGTTTGCCAGAAAATATGCATTGCGTTGAATTTCGTTGTCAAGTCAACGAAGCCAGCAACCTCCGTGTTTCACAGGAAGAGTTTTCTTCTTCAAACTCCATTCCCACCCGCTTTCTAACGTGCCGAAATTCAAGCGGTTTTATTTCACATATATAAATACCTTTTCCATTAAAGACCGTAAGGACATACTCCAAAGGATCCTTCCGGGGACTTGTGTTTGGTTGCATTTGTTCTGATCAAGCATAAGTGGACGCAAATCCGAGTATCGACTCTCGCTCTCTCTTTCTCTCTCTATCTGTGCGGATCACATCTTTTGATCTGTTAAATCGAGAGTTTCTTCTGTTTACTGCGCTATAATTACACATACTTGTGTTAGGCCTGGTTGGGAATGGACAGGATGGATGGGCAGTCACGGACAGTGAAAGCAGTAGTTGTACAGTGTAATGGTAAGGAAGCACGGGAATTTCGCTAATTCCATGAAGTGACAAGAATTTCATTAACGCTTTTTCCTAGTTCTATCGAAAATCTTCGCATATTATGAGTGATATCGTGGACACAACGCATGTGTTTTACCTATTTGAATAACTGCATTCATGTGGAGTTTGTGGGTAAGATCTCACCAACTCCACAGCAGCGCCGTTTTTTTTCTAGGGAAAACGAGTGTCCCGAATTTTGATTTGGTTGTGGTCATCCATGGAGATAGCTTTCCCACTTCTAACTTTGGCGGAACCCACCCCTTTGAACTGTAGCCACCTGGAGTCCCAGAAACGAGCATGTGGTTGATGTAAAACCATTCTCTGGGTAAAACGGTTTGATCTGTTCCTTCCAACAGAGTTACAAATGGCCGTCTACTATAAGTGATCTAACCAACCCATGCGATAAGGAAATGGGTACCAGTGCATAACTGCACAGCGCACCTAAGCTCTACGCACAGTGTCTGACTCGAGTGTGCCCCTGCACTGCCATACAGGAATGACTGCTAACATCGGAGGATAGCAATTCATTTACATGGGCATTCGAATATTCGCTATCAGTTCACTGCATTTTTTCGCTGCAGTCTCATCTCTCCCTACATCAACTAGGTGCACGCGAGCCACGGCGCTAATGAATGCAAACGTCAAAATCAGTGCGCACTCCTGTAACAAGTCCAGTGAGCGGCCGATCAAGTTGTATCGACAGAAGCGGACAACCGATCTGTCCTATTCCGACTGATCAGCATACAAGATTTCGACGTGAATTTCTTACTCGAGTATGCAGCTTGACCGAAAGTTCACTCCAAAGCGGACAGTTGAAATGTCCGTAGTTGCATTCAGTGGGGGTTTACATTCGCCACCAGCAGGGACAGCCCACCAACCATGCATGCGTCCAGCTGCCTCACGTTGATCCAAAGGGAGACTGATCTTCACCGAGGTCATCTTTATAGATCCTGATTTGGTCAACACTCCGGCTCGAATAGGATAGCGAGCGCGATACCCCGGTGCACCGCTCAAATAGTCACTCTCTTGGGGTCTCAACAGATTTGGATTCGAATCATTGCGAGTCTGAAGCAAAGGATTGAAATAAGCAGTGGGATAGACAATTTCATATGGTATATAAGTAGTGCGTGCGATACTAAAACCTAAGGTAATAATGAAGCCAGTACGCATCACTGCATCCACTTTCGGATTTCCTGAGGCAGATTATGTCAAGGTAAACGATGGACAGGTGCCATAGTATTCCGAAAGGATTCGACAACGTATGTTAACTGTCTACATCGTCTTCAAGTGTATACACTATTATCAACCTATCCTAACTTGCCAAAAGAGAATCTTCTTAGTAACACACTTGATGTAGGGTCTACCTTAAACGACAAGAATGTGTCATGTGTTGAGAAGCTGTTCATCAACTTTGGCAAAGCTGTGATATGTCGTCGGCATCGAATCGCACACACACACACACACACACACACACACACTAGTAAGCACCCGTTGGATTCACTAAAACAGTAGACTTTGACAATTGTAAAAGCTAAGCAACGAAACATCCTGAGTCAAGTACTTACCAAAGGAAGAAGCGCCGGCGCTATTATCACTGACATTGGATAACGTACCGTCCTACATAGCCTCGGGTACTTTTACAACGCAACAAAATCGCTGTGTCAAGCTCATTCGTGAGGAGGAAGTAAAGCCCCAACAGAAGCTTAGAACAAAGTTGGCTCAGACCTCAAACTATTTGACTGAGACGGCAAAAATGCACAAAGTGCGACGTAAATCACTTCCTCTAAAATCGGAGATAACCACAAGAATGGATACGGTCGAATAAACTACATGTAAGCATCAGGGTGTGCTGCACAGCACGAATTTTGGTTTGACTTGACAAACATCTGAATGTACAAGACGTAACATCTATATAACGGGTAGTGGTGGCGGCGTTGTGGCAGGTTAATCAACGTTTGTGCAACAGCAACCGCAATATTCACATAGTCAAAGATCTCTGTAAGCCTATGAATGTATAAGCTGCCATTTATTGGAATACAAACCGAAGTTCTTGAGCGGCCTTCAATCATTCATCGCCAGCAACGTATATATTGCTTCTGACACACCTGCATTAGAGTCAAGGATTTTTTAGGACGTAGTTTCCTTAACGCTACTGTTTAAGTTAGATTGTTCTATCTGTATTGTTGTTAGCGACTTCAGTAGAAAAGATACAACATTATTGCAGGGACTTGGCTTGCTAGATCTAGTGACTGTTTCGACCAAACAAGATGCCCAGTTGGACACGGTGTTCACAAACAAAGGATAGTTGTTTACCATACAATAACGAACTGCTTTGAGTAACTCAGACCATTGTGGTTCAAAACTGTGTCCAGTCATATACAGCGGGTCTAACACTTTAAAGCTGACCAGACGTCCATACAAAAATAACCAAAGAACGAAATTGCTTCTTGGAAAATATCACGAGACTCCGGACGATGTTTTCTTTAACTGATTTTTCTGTCTTCAAAGACGAGGACCTGTCATTCGAATGTGACCATTTTACGGACTACATCAAATATTGCTTTGACATGTGTTGCCCTGTTGAAATGATCCATCTAAGGGTAGATAGGTTTTCATCACCACTACTAAAGCGGCTTCGAAGGATGAAAGCATAGGCTTACAAGTGGAAGAATGGTACCTGTGCCAAAAACTGAACCACAACAAGTAAACTCGAGATAGAAAGGCTAAACCAATTGTACTTTAAAGCAGTTCTAGGCAACAATAACTATCGCGATCTTTTGAGGCTTCTGTGGCAGCACTATCGTAAGAGCGTTTGCAGCCAAAGCGGTGAAATGGATGTGGATAAACTGAGCTCTGAGTTTAGTTCCGCCTGATTAAGTTCACCTTCCTTGCCCTCCTTCATTACCTCAAGTACATCTAAACCCTCCGATCAAAGCAGCCTTCACAAGGAACTCACAAGATTAAAGGCAAACAAAACTTGTAGTCCGGATGTTTTCTCACCATTAACTTTGAAGGTGCAAGCTGATTCTCTCACACTTACTTCAACAGATCTCTCTAACAAATGCCTCACCACGGGTGTGATCCCGAACATTTGGAGAAGGGTCAGTATAACCTTAGTACCAAAAAATAAATCTCAAAAGTATCGTCCAATTGAATATACACCTGTGCTTCTAAAAGTCTTCAAAAGACTGTTAGTTTCGCGGATCTTCTCAGCTGTTCCTGTAAACGATATCTACCAGTTTGAGTATAGACCCCAGCGCTCCACATTGGATGCAGTTGTGTATCTTGTTCATTCTTTGATCTCTACATTCGATAAAAATGTAACACCTTATGACTTCTCTTCTTGGTTTATTCAAATGCCTTTGGTTGCCTGGATAGGTTGCTGCTGCTAATCTGTTATGTGACTAGCTTACAGATCGTACTCACTTCACCAACTTTAACGGTCATAAATCTCCTGTCTTCAGTGCTGACTATGGTGTTCTGCAGGAAGCGATCCTATCAACTTTTTAATTTTCCTTTATGTCGAACTCCCTATATAACCCATGTTTTTAGGGTGCAAATTTGCTGCTGTTGATGTGCTGCGATGTATGGCCCCAACTAACCAGCGTTCCTCATCACTTCAAGGTGGTTTGGAAGAACTGGTGGAGTGGTTTTCATCCAGATCTCTTCCGCTCAGTGCTTCTAACTGCAGTGATGTAATATTTTCTGTTCTCCTTGGCGATAACTTGCAGTCCCTCATAGATTTCTCTCCCACCCTTATGGTGAATGAACATCCCATACTCAGCTCTTCCAGCGTAAAATATCTCGGTGTTTTTTGGTCCCAGGACTTTTTTAATCCGCGCACGTCTGTAAAAGATTTCAAAAAGTCGACAAACTTGATTTTTATGTCCTCAGACTAGATGCTTTCAGTACTTCGTACTTTAATATTCAGGTCTGTGACCTGTTGTGTTATTCCCCATTGGTTATACTGCTCTCCTGTCATATTCCTGGACTGACTACATTTTATTGGCGCGACGTATAAAGCACCTTTTTAGGTACAGCGGCCTCTCTAGGGGTTCATTAGTTGATTTGATCAATACTAGACATCTTGATGCCAGCAATGACTTTCTAAGATACTAACTGATCGATTTCATCCACTACACAATGATTTTCCCAAAACCTTCTCTTTCTCCTCTACCCGTTCGAAATTCAGAATTTTATTCTTCCGCATGTCACCGTAGCAAGAATATTTTCCCTTATCTCTCATGTTTGTTTGTCGACCTAGTGAAAGTCACTAACATGCTGCGCGAACACCTTTTGGAGTACTTATGAATAAAAGGATTTTGGCGAGTATTTTTGTTCGCTGCAGTCAGCCGACAATTCAGATAAGTCCACTACCTATCCGGAAAAGCACCAGACGGCCGTTTCGCCTTATTGGGGCTCGTCAGTGGTGCGCATCCTTCGGTCCTCTACGGAGGATCGAACCCATGACTGCTATTGGCTTGTGCCAACTAGCCCGCAGCTTATGCAACTGAACCATGGAGGACGGCAGCCGACCATCACGAATTGTTAGCTAACTGCGATATAACCCGAGCCATCCTCCACTACCATGCAGACACCTGCCATGCAGGTGACAGCGGCTGGCCTCCCGGCGTCACGACTTCCCGAGTACGGAAGCTACGAATCGACATAGCATTTATGGAATCCGTAAAGGCGAATTTGTATTACTTATGAGTTGGCACAAATCACTAGCAGTCATGGGCCGGTGGCCGAGTGGTCTTCACGTTTGGTTTGCAACCATAAGGTCACCGGTTCGAATCCGCGTAGGGGTGGACATCCTCGCGGTATACTCAGCCCGCGCGCGACTCGTGGCGGTCGCGCGGCAGCGAAGCTCCGTTACGGCGTATAGCTGGCACATTATTATTCATTACTAGCAGTCATGGGTTCGATCCTCCGTAGAAGACCGAAGGATGCGCACCACTGGCGAGCCCCAATAGGACGAAACGGTCGTCTGGTGCTTTTACGGATAGGTAGTTGACTTAGCTGACTTGTCGGCTGACTGCGACGAACAAAAATACTTGTTGGAGTACCAGTACTGCCTATTTCCCATTTTTCTCCCCAAGCATGTATATGGATATTATCATCCAGGTGTCCGCAGAGTTGGTGCAAATGATGAAAACGAACACATTAGGGTCCATAAAGCTTTTGTTGAGTTGACTTGATTTGAATTGTATCCTTGGACAAGTATACGAAAGAGTCTCAATAAGGCGTGGTGGAATTCAAACTGTTTTCCAATTTGCCACATAAGTGACCAAAACTCGAGACACATGTTAGGTCCGTCCACAACTTGCTAAACAATCATGTTTTTCGTCCTACCTCGAGCGGTACAATAGTACCTCCGTTATCAGCGGTGGCTATAAGATATATTTTACTGAGTGCACTAGGTATGGTGAGGAAGATTTTGAGAAGAGAGTGATCAACTCCTCGCTTCTCATTACTCAACTCAGTGTACTGCGAACACTACAGTGAAGTGTTGTCAAGCAATCGCAAGTGAAACTTGCGCTGAAAGTAACAACGACTATGTTGCACACAACCTTCAATGGCTAACTAACATCCTGCGTACAAGGAACTAATACCAGCTTCAGCATACAACTTTTATGACGGCTGGCCAACTCGCTGAATAATAGTAGTGTACCTGACGTGAGCATGAAAAACGAACAATGATTTATTACGGGTAAATAAGCAGGTGTTTGACAAGTTCCGTAAGATGGCTGGGGTGCAAACTGCAATATCAAAATATGTGAGTCGTCTGTTTAAGTGTCCATGATGCAAATGCGCCGTTGAATACCAGTAGTGTACGATGGGAATCTAGTGAAAGCATACAAGACAACATGGGGGCAGCCATAGCTGAGGTATTCCGTGAGGAAGTAAAAGCAAGAACGCTTACTCATGTACCACCTTCAGGGGTCTATGTGACGTAGACATCCAACAAAAAGGGGGCATGACTAATGTAATCTACAGTACAGCAGCTTGGATAACGAAGTACTGAGAGCTTAGAGTAACATACAACCGTTGTTTTCAAAAAT